CCAAAGATCTGGGAGTGGGAAGCTGTAAATGTTACTCTTGATTGTCCCCCACTTCTTCTTACTACTAGCTGCTGATGTTGCTGTTAGGGAGGAAGAAGTCTAAGTCGTAGTACCACGACTACAAGTACTACTGCTGCTCCTCCGTCTGCTGCTGCTTCTGGCCGGTGTTGACCAGAACACCCATGTGAACAGGTCTTGCAGGGCTTTACTCCGAAACGAATCTTCGATCTGTCGTGAATTCTTTCGAGGCTTCTCCAGAGGCTCCTGAACCCGAGAAGCCTTTTGCCAGAACAGCCCTCTGTCGACATGCCGCCTGCCATGAATACTTACTTGTCCAGTATCCATGGGGAACTCAAACCTTTGGGATTCTATAGGGATTGTCGTACCCCAAAAAGGGGTAAGGGGTTGCCTACTCTACTACTGGGAATACTAGGAATATACGTGCTGCGGATTACACCAGGCTTTACCAGGAACTTCAATTTTCCCCCTTGGGCTCCGAGAGCAAACGGATCCAGGGACCAGCGGGTGACCTTCCACAGCGGAGGGAAGGGCAGGTCGTCCTCGAGGCGAGAAGCGATTTGAGTTGCTTTGCCTACGGCGCGGAGATTCCCGAGTGCACTCAATAGAAAGAATTATTTGCTGTTTGTTTCTCAGCCTTGACTTCACACATACAAAGTAGCTGTATAAGATGTATACGAGTATGCCTGCACCTCCCAAAGCAAAACGTGAGACTGGCGCAAGCAACTTTCTCCTGCGCTTGACTGCCGTCATCTGACCCAGCCTTTGCTGGAAACATCGCACGTAGCCTGCAGTGAGGAGGGTTTCCGAATCTCTGTTTGCAGGATTTCCCTTTTTGCTGGTGTGGGCCTGCTGGTGGTCGTTTATGGCCTGTTTAGGGTCAAGGCCTCCAGATCGTGGTGCAGAGTTTACGGCCTTGGCCACACAAACTATTATAAGAATGCCACAAAAAACAACTTAATCCCAGAGGCGTGGCGCGGAGAACCGTAAAGGTCTGATTCGGTCTGATGTTCCAAACTTCCGTTCGAGACCAGACCTGGTACCCGAAAGCAACACGAACTTACCCTAACCCCCCAGGTACCTGCTATATAGGGCCCTAGGGGCTCTAGTACCCTATATAGTAGGTACCTGGGGGGTTAGGGTTAGTCCAGAAGCGATCCCCGTGAGTTCCCATAAACCCTGAAACCCTCGCGCCCTAACTTGCTCCGTTTTTGCAGGGCTGTTCAAGAACTCTCAACTTGCAGTTGTTACTTTCTTCTTCTGCGTGCCTCTACGACACTACAACTGTATGGTCATGGTCCCGATATGTATGGGACACATACGTGGCGAAAGCAGAAACTGAAGGCAGGGGCTCTGGAAGCTCTTAGCTGAGGCATGGTACCGTGTCTGCAACAGCCATGTTTCAGTCTCGGCTTTAGAGTTTAAAGGTTTTTATGAACTATGGCACGTCGGACTTCTAAGGTTTGTCAAGTTTCTAGCACAGGGTCCATACGACGGCTTACGAGCTGCCGGGTTGATGAGGCATTCGTATAGATACAACTCTATCCTCCACGGGGTTTGGTCTTAACTGGGGCTTGCAGGTTTGGTGCGGCGCATGGAGCTTTGGGGCTAGCTGGTCACTCATTCCAAGGGGCGTTGGTTGCAGCTTGCTGCCTGGCAACCCGCGAACCACCTCCATGACAACCTCTTCGTCGCTCAGAACAGCATGCTCCTCGCAGAAAGATTATGAGGGATATGGGAAGCGCCGAAAATCAGGCAAAGATACCCGGCATGTCTCCGACACTTGACAAAACATATTCTTGTCTGTACCTGCATGGTGGCTGAACAGCCACCAGAAAAAACCCACCAGCTCTTTCGCTCGAAGCTTTCCCGAAACGCGCCAAGACATGGAAGCCAACGAAACAGTTCCCCCCCTTTACCTTCGCCCCCCAACTACCCTCCAATATACCGCAAGCACCCACTACTACAGATATGCCTGGTGAAGGACCACAAAGACTCTATTAAAGGGCACTTCGGGGGTCCTCTTTAAAGCAGAAGGCCTAGGTTCCTGAGTAGCCCCTCAATAATAAGGTAACCCTTTTTCCTACTATTTGGGTTTAATAAGGGTACTACTCGTAACCTAGAAGGCCTAAACTAACCGATTCATGGCTTGGAAGTGGCCTCCCAGTTCGAGTCGCCCCAAATGTGGCAAAGCAATTGGCCTTCGACGTCTTCTGGCGGCTCCCGGGGTTCATGAGAGATATTACAAGCCATTATATATCTTGTATCTTGGTATGACATTTCGCATGATACTTTTTACAGCTAATGCAATACAGACAAACAATATTAGCATCATCAGGGGTCAGAGCTTAGGTCTTGTGGTGTCTGCGCCCTTCGACATATCAAGCTGCATGTTTCCTTGAGGCTTCGGGTACATTAGGGCCTGTTGGGTTAGGGTTTGGGGTTTAGGGTTTAGGGTTTTGTAGGTCAGGATTGATTCGGGATTCAGACCGCAAAGTTCCGTGACGGAAGTTGGCTCGGAACCCAATCAAGGCAAAAGTGGCAGATCAGATTGAAGATCTGGCAATGGGGAACTATGGTAACCTGCTGTTTTGTGGGTTCGTGGTGTGGACCCCAATGCCGAGTTTGAAGGGCAAATAGGACTTGGTTCACACTTCCCAGCCTAAACCCTAAACTTTCCTAAACCCCATTTCAGAGGCGGCTTTGGCGATGCAAGAATTCGGGCTGGCCCCGCATGGCAGAATCCGAAGACTCCGCTTGGAAGGCTGTGCTTTGGCCCCTTGACGACCTAGACTCACGAGAACGAGCTCCCAACTCGGGTTCGCAAGCCAGAAAAACTCACGACATCCTAAGCTGGTGGTTTTAGGGTTTAAAGCTTTGGGGATTTGCGGATGCGGGTCTTGGGGTTTCAGCACTCACTCTCGGACATGCCTTGGCGAGGTTTCCGGTACGACGAACGCACATTGGCGCAGCAACAGCATGTGTAGCTCTTGCGGACTCTTTACAATTACATTAACATGACCCCATGAGCAACTGCAACCTCTTAAAGGCTACAGCAAGCAAGGTCCAAGACTTCTCCCGATATCACGCGTTGACTCCTCACAGTGCAAATACTTTCGAACAGGCTGTCTTCAAGTGTGACGGCACACGGCAGAGATAAGCAGTAGCCCGCATCACGTTGGCTTGCACACAGGCCCTGTCAGTCCGCTGTGGAGGACAAAGCCATGTGCTCAACTTGCAGAAATTCACTCCCAAATTCGTGCCCTCGTTGCCCGGTCGTCCACGCAGGCAGCTTCAAGCTCTGAAACGCCGGCATAGACCCCGTTCCACACTGCATGCAGCTCGATACAATTGTTTGAGATACAGCTGTAGCAAACCGTCTCGCTCTAGTGTGGAGTGGCCCTAGCTGAACTCCCACGAATCCAGGCCTTGTCGATACATGCAGTAAATTCGCTTGCACATGCAGAATACTTGCGGTCCCCATGCTGCCCCATGTCGGGCCCATTGTGGCCAGTATCAAATTCAGAACATCATGCATCACGATACTTCGCTCCAGTGTACAGTGTAGAGTGGTCCCAGCTGAGCTCCCACGGAACCAGGCGTTGTTATACATGCAGTGAATGCGCTTGCGCCTGCAGAAATTCCCGGTCCCAATGCTGCCCTTTGTCGGGCCTTTCCACAGGTCCATATTGTGGCTGCAAATATCAGGTTCAGAACATCTGCATCTCAAATTCCATGGGCATGCAGTATAAATTCGAGCGGCTCCGAAACTTCAGAGGATCAGCGTATCTTCGAATACATGTTTCAGAGCATCACACATACCAGATTCCAGGAGGGCCTGCAGCCAGGATTTGCGCCACTGCATCGCACGGTCCAGACCTGTGTCCCTTTCACGCAGCCAGCAGCGTAAGCCATGGGGCGCGGGTTAGTAGTTACTAGAATCACTAGAACCGGGGTTCGGGATTATCCTATACTCCAAGAAGAACGAAACGAGAGTTACGGTCCTCCTGGCCTCAGTGTCGGATATGGTGTGATGTAGAAATACTACTGCCCCGAGGGAGGGGAGGCCACGGATTTTGCGGGTCGACGATGTCGGTGATGTCTTTCGCCTGCATCATGTGGCCGTGCGAAACGGGGTGCTTGTAAAGGTGGTTTGCTTCTGGGTGGGTTTTACTCACTCAAACAGACCGAGCGCTCTGGCTTTCCTAGCTTCAACATGGAGTTTTTGGGTGACTCAGTGCACAAGTACGCTTTGGCTCCTTATAGAGACCGAGAATACGTGTGGGTTTGGAGGCGGGGGCCCACGTCCAACTATGTCACGCATGTTTCTATACCTGTCCAAGCCGGTGCTGTGCGAGGTATTGCAGCCGGAGAGCATTCCTAAATTACATGCATTGCATAGGATTCCCAAATTCTGCACATGCTGGCATGCCTTAAATTCTCGCATCTTTGAATTCTAGCCATGCATACCTCTCCTCTTGGCTGTCTTGGCTGTGTGCCGGGACCCCTTGGAAGCAAAAACGGCGAACCAGCGGCCCCGTAAGGTTACAGAGCAAAAGCTTACTCACAGGTGTCCCAGCAGTTGCTGCAGGGCACACACGCCCATCCGGCAGCGTGATTGGCATCAATGCGCTGGGTCTCCCCAGCTGCTGTACAGGTAGCGACTCGTCAAGGTTCAGCATGGTGGGCGGCGCGCGATGGTGTCCAGGATGTCTTCGATCCGCTCCAGCATTCCACGCAGGAACCCTAGGCAATCTGGAAGGTGCTCCGTGGCATGCTGAGTCTTGTCGGTGGTTTGCTGATTCCACCTGATCTGGGCTTGAATGTGTTTACTTTCTTTGCCCAGCTTATACAGCAGGTTGGCCAGCTCCTTCAACACCTCAGTGAACTTGTCGTTCCCGGTGGAAGCATGCTTGTCCTGGGCGCCTCTGATGGGCATCAACATGTGCTGCAGCGTCTTCTACTGCCACACTTGTGGGCGCGCTGAGGCATACCCTGCTCCACATCGACAGTCTCCTGCATCTGTCCGGGGTCCGCGTAGGCGCCGTGCGCCATGCATCCCATCGTCCCGAGGAACAGTGTGCCAAAGCAAACCCGCGCCGGAGCGTAAACATGAAGTGCTGGCAGCTGCACCCACAGCATGCAGAGAGCTCCAAGGACTGTGGAAGTAGGGAGCACTTTTGGGAGGAATGGCCACACATCCACCTCCTCGATCGTAAAGCCCGCGCGGCTCTCTGCCGCACTGGACACGGAGTCCTCGTCGTCTGCGCTGCGATTGTCCTTCTCCACCTTGCCCTCGGCGACAGGGGTGCTCTTGGAGGGCAGGAGGGTCGGGGTGGGAAGCGGCATCAGCAAGTCGCGGCTTTCATCCTCCTCTTCAACGAGCGGCTGAGTTACCTCGACGTCAGTGCCCACAGGGTCTCGTTTGAAGGCTGCCTGCACAGGACTGCCGAGCTTGGCGACGGAAGACGATGTTGTGCAGCATCTCTCTCTCTCTTTTCTCTTGCTCAGACTCAGAGGCCCTTGAGCCAAAATGGCTACGGTCTTGGGGTTTAAGGTTCGGGGCTTAGGGGGTCTCGATGCTTGCACGGCCAGCTTCCATTTCAGTGGCTTATTCACTCACTATCACTCACTCATCCACTCGCTCTAGAACCCGAAGCTGTCATGAACTTCGGGCCTTCGCGGCCATACTTGTGCAGATTGAGGAAGTGAAACCTCTGGTCGGTGGTCTCAAACTGCAAAGCCTGGGTGGACAGAGCCAGAACATCTGCTGCGAGAAACAACAACGACGACGCAGGACCAGCCACACAATACAATCTCGACGATCATCACAAATAATCAGCATCGGCGGCCGCAACAGGATCATTCTTGGCATTATTTGTACTGTGTGTTGTGGACGTCAAAATGTCAACATTGAGTACCGTAATATACCGCAATGGGAGGCAACGACGACATCCCTGCGATGCTCACCGCCGTCCCTTGCGCGGCATCACCATCACAAACATTCCGCTGCTTGCTCGTAAACACAGTAGCAATATCTTCACTTCCAGGGTCAATTATAGTCATCATCATCATCATCACCGTCATCATGAACTCCACAACGTGTTGTGAATGCGCAAAGATGGCGAACAGTCAAGGAAATTCATAACAACGGGCTGTAACTCACGGTCTGTAAACAACACAAGCGGCCAATCACCATGTTCCAAAATAGCAGGCGCAACCAAACAGCCAAACCCTACGCCCTCAAACCCTAAGCTCTATAGGCTCCGAGCTGAACAGCTTCAACTCAACTTTCCTTGCGGCTGGCTGGCGGCGCCCCGGGCACCCAACACCTCCCAAAGCTGAGTGCAAATTGCAAGAGAGCCCTCGTAAAGTTCTTAAAACTTAAACGACAGATCACTGGATCCTTGAATCAGCCACAGATAGGTTTGGCAAATCTTGCTGAATCGACAGCATACCGGATTGCGGCGGATTCCGTTTAGTGCTGAAATCCACTCACGATCTACACGAACACGGATCCAAAGCCTGATGCACCTCCAAACGGCGGCCTACCACAGAAATCAAGCGACCCTTCCTCCCCCTTGCTCTAGATAGGCTCGGCGCTGCGGGTTTGTCTCTGCTCGTACACTTAAAATGGGGCTTTGGGCTTCCAGGGTTTATGGGGTTAAGGGTTTACGTAGATCTCGGAAGCTGCGTGCGCAGCCATGAAGCTGCCAGAAGAGTTCTGCGCACTAGAACTTAGGGTGGTATGTGTCGGAGATGTATGCAGTTACATATACGTGCCATCTGTACCTGTGTGCGATGGGCAAAGACGGATGACGTGCCTCTGACACGAACGGCTCCGAGACGGGCCATCGGAGGACAACCTACACCAAGGGTATCACATTGCGAGTTTGGAGTTTAAGGATTTCATCTGCTTAGATTGCATTAGGGTCATTAGGGTGTAGGATTCGAGGATCCACGGACTCAGGCTTGCATGAAGAATCTGTGCGAACATGGAATCTAGACCGTTTGCTCTGCCGACCCCCTTGCAGACTTGCGAATTCAAACCTGAACAAAACCCTTCTTGAACCCTCATAGAGCCCTTATAGCCGTCGCCGTGAAGCAGTGCAGCACACGTGACTGCACAACCTCGCGCAACGGCTAAGACCTAAACCCCTCTACCCGAAGCCTTCTCGTGCGTCGTTGCTCCGCGCTTTGGCATCGACAGCCTGCCATAAATCGAACCCCTGGCCCGAAAACCTCAACACCCGTAATGTAGGGGCCTTAATAATCAGAGTAAGGGTTTTGGGGTATTAGCATATTATATCAAGAATACAGAACCCACTAAATAGTAATTATTGGTAATTCTTCAAGCCCCTATGTTAACCCTGAGACATGAAGTCCAAAATCTCTAGACCCCAAACCCATGAACCGTAAGACCTTAGACCCTCGAACCATCCGGTCGCAAACATGCCGCCCGTTGGAAGGTGAAACGGAGGCAGGCACACCGTAAACCTTAAACCCTAATTTAACCGTAAACCCTAAACCTAAACCCTAAACCTAAACCATAAAGTGCAAAATTTAGACTTCGGTTGAAGAATGAACGTCCCTTGCTTTCATTGAGCATCTTATGGTTGCAACATTCTGTGGAGACCTTTGTGCAAACTTCGGCCGTTTGCCTGCTCAGAACCGGTTAAAGCCTTAACCTCAAAGGATCCGGAAGTTTCTGCGGATTGACTGACTGACCATAGCTGTCTTAGCAGCGGAATCCAGCTCAAACCAGTACAGTAATACCTATACCGCCATCACTGATCCAATTTAGGCTTCAGGATTTAACCCCTCACCACTCACCACCCCCAGATTCGGTTCAAGGTTTCAGTCTAAGGGGCTAGGGTCCCCTAAACCCTAAACTCCCTAAAACCCTATACAAACCCCCAAACCTGTAAGACCACAAACAGGGGAACCGCACCGAGGTGTCGGAACCCTCCTAGGCTGCCAGGTCCTGTGCCCAAGCCCAACAGTCTGTCCTGTAGGGGGCCTTATCATGGCCTTATCATGATTAGAACACATAAGGCTTTGGTCTCCTTCGAATGGCTCCTGTATGGTATAGTGATGAGAAAAGACCCTAGAGACTAATGGTGGCAATTGTTTAGGCTTCTCTGCTGACCCCTATCCCAAGCCCATTTTCGCACTGTACCTGGCCGACTCAGCTTCTCGCAATAATCGAAAAGCCGTGAGAGCCACAAAAATGTTCCACATCTTCGGCGCAAGGGCCGCTACTCTCTTTCCGAGCTCGACGGAAGTTCGGGTAAATGCAGTGAAGCACGCTTGGCTTCGCATGGTCCGCCACCCCTCGTAGATGGGCTCTGTGTTTCTGTTCTCAGAAGCCCCATGCACAGTACATCGAACCTAAGCCCATCGAAGCCCGGCGCCTAACTAAAAACTGATGCAACGCAGCATCTCAGGCGTACCCGCCGGTACCTCCCACGAGACATTTCCGGAAGTTGACCTCAAGCTCCTCTCGGTTGATGTTCTTCCCGATAAACGTCAGCTTGCAGATCCTCTCCTCATCAGGCCCCCACAGGCGCTGTGGGGAGCCAGTAAAAGCCATGTGGACTGCCTGGAACACGAATTTCTCCTTCATGCCCTTCACGGCTAGCACACCCTTGGTACGAAAGAGGTCTAGGCCTTTCTCCCTTAGAATATTGCCAAGCCAATCATTCAGCTTCTGCTGATCCACCTCGCCCTTCACGTGGAAACCTGCAGACGTCACACGGTCATCATGCTGATGGTCTTGGTTGTCCTCCAGAAAGGCATCATCCATTTCCAGGATCTTATCTAAGCTGAAGGCCTGGATGCCGAGAATGAAGTCCATGTCAACTTTGCTCTGAGTGGCCCGGCGGATCTTCACCGACTCGTTGATCATGCGGATGCGTCTCTCCACTTCCTCTAAGTGGGGTTCGTCGACAAGGTCACACTTGTTCAATACAATGCGGTCTGCAAAGGCCAACTGTTCCACAGCCTCGTTCTCGACGCCTTCAGGCTTCTCTTCATCCAGGTGTGGGATCAGGTGCTTGGCGTCCACGAGGGTCACGATACCATCCAGGGACATCTTCTGCTGCACAAAGTCGTCGGCGAAGAAAGTCTGGGCGACGGGTGCTGGATCTGCCAAGCCGGTGGTTTCGATGATGACACCGTCAAGTGGCTTGTTGTTTTTGACTGCGTTCTTGATCATCTTCTTCAGGCCGGCAATGAGGTCGCCTCGGACGGTGCAGCAAATGCAGCCATTGTTCATCTCGATGATGTTCTCCTGTGTCGCGATTGAACCGGCCTCAATCAAGCCGTCGTCGATGCCGACCTCTCCAAACTCGTTCTCGATGATGCCTATGCGCTTGCCGTGGTTCTCGTGCAGGATGCGATTCAGCAGTGTCGTCTTCCCGCTTCCGAGGAATCCGGTGAGTACCGTGACGGGCACCTTGCTCTCCGAAGGCTTTGCCTTCATAGCTGCCTGCACCTGTGCCATCTTGTCCTTCAACGCCCCGTCTGTGCTCCCCAATTGCTGTGCACACTCGTAGTCACTGGCTGCACGCTTGTGTGCGCCCAGGCCCGTGATTATGTCACCACGCACCTCGTACATTTGTCGAAGGGTGTCTTTCTGCTCTGCCGAGACCTTCGGAACCATCTCGGCGATGAACCCGGGGGGGTCCTTCAAAATCTTGTCCGACTCGTCACCCAAAACCTTCGCGAAGGCTTGCATGCAGGCATTCATGTGCTGCACAGCATCGAAGAACTTCCCTTCCTTCAGGGTCGCCTGTGCTGACGCAAAACTTTCGGTCCAGTTTTCTGCCATGGCGTGAAGATGGCGACTGAAGACCTTGAACCTTAATGATTCTTAATGTAAACCCCTGATTGATAAATCCCCCTTCTTTAAGGGCCCCAATAGAACAGGATAGTTCCAAGAATCCCCGTCAAGGCGACGGCGCTTGTTAAGGAGGGGCCTGCATTACCCAAATCCTTCAGACAACTTCCGTCGAACCCAAAAAACGTGGCCTTTTGATGGCAGCAGCTTTGTCTGCCGGCAGCGCAGGGGTGAAGTGGATGCAACTCTCTGGATGGAGTTCGGCTAGGACCTTGGTGTATATAATGGCGGCTAGGATCTTGGTGTACGTCATGGCTTAAAAGGACGCTGAGCGGGGTTTGTCAAATAACAAGCCCGAGAAGCACAGCCGTCGTGACAGGGACCCTACTTATTGTACGACTTAGTTACTACTTGGGGATGCTTGCGTCTAGAATGCAGCCCCTGAGTTCCAGCTGAGGAGTGCTCTGCAACAGAATTACTAGGGGTTTAAAGTCTGAAGCCCCAGTGCTAAAGCAAAGCAAGATTCAGTTCAATTAAAGTCAAAACACGTCGGAGGCTCAAGTATTCATCAACCGTAAATTCGGAATAAAACGCCTGCCTGACTCCGAAACCCAAGACAAATCCCGAGGCACTCTCCTGGCAGAGCTCTTTTCTAGGGACGAAGGGGTTTAGGGTTTATAGGGTTGGAAGCCCCCCACACCCCTCGCCCAAAGAAGTACAGTACCCAGCTCCCTGAATCCCAAACTCTCCATTCCTTCATCAAGCCCTGAATCCTTTCCCTTGAAACCTAAGCCTTAAACTATCCCGTAATCTTAACCTTTAAACCCTATAGGCCCCAAACCCAAACCCTAAACCTTTTAAGCCCTATAAGCCCTAAACCCTAACTCCCTTTGACTCATAGGTTCCCAAGAGAAAAGGATCCAAACCTGAGGACTCCGCGCCCGAGGGCACGGTGACGATGGCGAAGGGCGCGGCGAAAGACTGGCCGGACTTCCTCGCTTCGTAGAGAAAGGGTCTTTTAGTGATCAGAGTCGGGTTTTTTCAGAGTAGGGTTTAGGGTTCAGGGTTTAGCGGTTTAGTGTTTTTTCAGAGTAGGAATTAGGGTTTAGGGTTTAGCGGTTTAGGGTTTTTTCTCGGAGTAGGGTTTAGGTCAGGTTTAAGGGTTCTTTTAGGTAAGCCATGGTATACATAAGGAGACCTCAGGAAATACTATGGTGGTATCTCTTCAGGCTTAGGTGCTTATGGTTTCACTGCCGGTTGAATTTTGACATGTTTGGGGAGTTAGAGCATGTAAGGGGTTCGGGTTTAAGGGAAACGCGATTTGTTGCATTCAGCAGGCTCGAGGAGGGCTGAAGCTTCATTGTAGGGTTTCGGGTATAGGGGAGTATAGAGGGGGTCCTTGCTGCAAGGGTCCCTTTCCCAAGACTTTCCGAACACGCCTTGCTGCGCATGTCTGTATGCTGCAGGTTTCGAAGCAACTGGTTTGCGGAATCGGAAGTGACCCATGGGTTCCTTCACCGAAAATTTCGGCTCACCGCGACCAGGGCACGTGGTGATCTTCACCATGGACTCTGTTTGCCACACCTCCTGGAGGCAGAACACTATCAGAACCGACTTCAACGAGACGTCCGATTCCGCCAGCCCTCCAACGACTGTAATTAGAGTACAGATACTGGGTTCTTGTTAAGGAACTTATCTTGCGTTACCCTGATAGGGAGATGTAGTCAACTTGATACGGCTTCCTGAATGTAGTGTAGTCGTTTAAGGTCAGATCCTGCAGAGAGCTTCCTCAACGCACGTTTTAGGCCAATCATACCCTAAACCCTGTAAAGCCCTGTCAAGCCATGATAGCAACCCTTTAGCTAAAAAGAAACACTACCCATAGGCCCCCAAGTAGTTCCGTTTTGGGATTACCTTGTAGGGTTCTAAATATAAACTACAAAAAGGGAACTACTTAGGGGCCTATGGGTAAGGCCCACGATGCCTTGACCGGATCGCCCAAGCGCACGGTAACTCCCTCGGCCAGGCACTCGATGAAGCTGCAGAAGCCTTCAGTGTTACTGTTGATGGTTTTTCCCTCTCCCCTGTTGATGGTTTAGGGGTTAGGGTTTAGGGGTTTAGGTGATTAGGGGTTCAGGGTCTAGGGTTTAGGGTCGCGAGGGTTTAGGGCTTAGGGGTTTAGGGTTTAGGGGGTTCGTGATATAAATCCTGCATTACCTGAAGGACCCCAAACTCTGGGAATTCAGGTATATTCCTCATCACGGGAAATGCAGGTTTTATATCATCAACCGTAGGGTCTAGGGTAAGGACCCACCCATAGTGACCATAAGGGTGAGTTGTACTTATTCTTGGGACTGTCTCTATTCCGATGATACCACTTTAAACGAATAGGTACACAAATAAGAAATACATCAGCAGTTACATATATATATATACACATGCTTAGATTAGAGGGGTGTGCTTTTCTGAATGACTAACGAAGACAAACTGCATGCAACACAAACACACACACCCGCGCGCGCGCTCAATAATTAATCAGCTAGGTCTTAGGCTCTATGATAGCTTCACAGGGAAGGGGGTTGGGGGCATTATACGGGCAGTATACTGGCCTCGGGGTTCAAGGGTGTGTATATGGCTTCGTTTGCCCACCCACCTAGAATCGAGATTTCAATCAGGCCTGGCCTGAAAAGAGCCTTTCTTTTTTTCGACCAAAACGATGAACAGCCCGGCTGTCGATCTTAGTCGCATCTAGCAGCACTAGCGAAGATCCTGCGTCAAGACGCAGGATTTCGTAGCTGAGCAGCCGCCAGCCATGGTAGCAGCAACTTCCACGGTGTGCTACCAGGCTACCAACAACACTCCCATCTAACGACGGCAGGAAAACGAAAGTGCAGAAACAAGAGCACAAGTGAAAGCCACACGACTAACGACTAAGTGTCGGAATGATAAGTGATGACTATGGTACCCTGGAACACAGGATAATGGGTATGAGTTGCAGAACCGCAGGGATCGACAAAATCTCACCATGTGCTTCAGTCGCTGAAGCTGGCATCAAGAATCGTATTTACATTACATGCTCGACTAACAGCAAGCAAAGCAGTGGGGCTGGCAAGCTAGCTGAGAACAAAGGGTCGATCACTTGAGCTCGAGGCCAACATGCGTTCATTCAGTTTCTACGCCTCGCTACAGCGGAAAATGCGGCCCACAAACTATGACGCCCGCAATAAGCTGTCTTTGAACATGGTGACAGACATATTCTCAACGAGAGAACATCAACAAGTTAGGAACAGATCTCAAATATATCAAGAACTAGTTCAAAGTTGAAGATACTTGAAGAGCCCTGAACCCTCGAAGCCCTGCATAAGTCTCATGCCCAAGACCGTCAACTTGAAGCGCCCTAAACCAAGAAAGTCCTCAACTTAACTTGAAGAGCCCTCAAACCATGGATGCCTCGGCCGAGGAGGAGGCGATCTTCGCAGTCGTCATCTGGTATGGAGGCGACTCCGACCTCGAGTTTAAGGGTTTTTGGGGTTTAGGGTGTAGGGTTTGCTCTAGGTTGGCCCTTTGGCCCTTTAAATACCCTGGAAACAAAAGATCCTTTCAGACCAAAGACGGGACTACCTAGTGTGAAGGTCGACTGTAAGATGCAGGATTTATAGATTCAATTCATGTTTCCAACCCGGTTCGAATCCATTTAGGGCTGAGGGTTTAGGGCTTAGGGTTTACTATGAGGCCTCCTACTTCGCAAGGTCGTTTGGCATTCAGGGTTTAGTTTAGTCTAGTTTACTTTCAAGATTCCTTGCATTCCCTTGACGATATACCATAGATAATCGCACGACCATGCTGCAGAGTCGCTGGAGGTCCCGCGGATCCCAAATCCTCCACCCGCTGCAGCTTACCTGGGCCAGGCGTGTGAAACCATGGGAGCCGAGCTTGGAAATCAAGGCCGGGCGCTGGGTTCCTTACAGACCTCTCATGTCCTTTGCCAGTCTCTTTGTGTCGTCTATTGCTACTTTGGGTTTTGTCATTTTGTCCTCTCTTTCAAAGCTTGTGAGATGCGGGTGCGAGATTCCACTGCACGCGCAATAGTCCTAGATACGAAAAACGGAGCACAGCAACTCCAAACTCATGGGAGGAAACGCCTACTACCTCCCGGCAAAGACACGCTTCCAAAAGCGCACCATTCCTTCTCGCAGCCCACTCTCGCTGCTTGGCCAGCTGCCGTCCATGAAGACCTCAGTGTAGATATTGGAAATGGCACCCCCCTTCTTGCAAGACAACATTGTTATTGGTCTTGTTGTCATGATTAGCCAATTAGCCATCTTCGTATGCAAACGAAGCGGCATTTGCTAATCAGCTCAGAAATTTCGCTGGTGGCTGCTGCAGCATGTGAAAGCTCAATCTGCTCCGAACGGTGACATTACCCATGTACCCTGAGTAGAAGTAGAGCACCTACCTGGAGGCAGCAATAAAGTGAAAAGGAGCTGTTATCCACATAGACGTTTTCAACCTTTGGCCGTGGGCCATGCTGATGTCTTCGAACGACTGCATCCCTAGACAAGGTGCGCCGTTTTTGGCTGAGTCCTGCGGTATGCAGCTGATGCACATATATATATAAATACACATACATACATACATACATACATACATACATACGTACATACATACATACATACATACATTATTCATATTGGAGTTCGCGGCAATGGCTAAACCACGTTGTTGAAAATGCACCCCCCCCCCAGACCCATTCAGACTCCAATAGGTATTTAGCGTCTCGAGGTTGTTCGGAACAGGGAGGGGGGTCCTGCACTTCCAAAAACCCTGAGCCCCTAAACGGCAGCTCGTCCGAGGATCGCTTTCGGCTCGCTGCGGGTTGCTGCTCGACACCAGCGTCTCTGGAGGCATCCGACTGCAAGCGGCGACATATCCGTAGTGGCGGCCTGACTTCGGGTGGCTTGTATGAACCCTAAACCATAATTTATTACATGACGGAAGACATGCAACGCGGGTAACCTGTGTTGTGCCAGAAACTGTAGAAGTGTATTCGAAGTGTAGTCGTGTCTTAGCGTCGTATGCTCGTGGGAGTTTTTGAAGGTTTCGGGTTTAAGGGACCCGGAGGTTGTGGATTCGAACGGGGTTTGGGAATGTGCGCTCTTCACCACGCACATGGCTCTGCGCTTCCGGCAGAAAGAAGGTTCCGGGCCTCGGATCTTGTAGACGATGGACCGCTCTCTCGAATTCAATGACGGGGAGCTGCGATGCCCGCTCCTAAGATCCCCAGAACTGTCCGGATTGGTGATATCGGGCCTGAGGCCTCAAGCCCCGAAAGCAAGGCTCTACTCCCCAGAAGCTGCGAAAGCCTCAATCTGCTGCTCTTATGCCCGAAGCTCTCACGCTCTCACCGTGTTTTTGACATCTTGCGGTTCTGACAATGCTGCATGGCCCCTCATCCTCATGGCAAAGTGAAGGCCATTACTTGGATACCCAAGGATCTTGTGGCGTCTTTGCAGCACCTCCTGCAACAAAGGACACAAGGGAAGAGATCTTGATGCAGGGGATGAGGAGGGGGAAAGATAGCGGCCCACGAACTGCAGGAATCCTCTGTGCGGAACAATCACATCATTCTGTGCGGCTTCGTAGTGAGCGGTGGAAGGCTCAGATGCTTTGGCAAACGAGGGAATTGTCACTCATGCAAATACTAATCTTCTGGTTCTTCTATCAGGACAGCGCAGGCTGCCGGAATGGAGGGTTGTTGCAAGGCGGCCTTGATCTTCGGTTGCTCAACAACTTTTGTGGATACCCACCGGAAGTTCTGCAGTGTCTTTCTTACACAGGGTGCCTGGCCGTAATCTGCCGCGGTACAGGGCGGGGGGCGGTGGTTCTGGATAAGACCCTTTCAGAATTTCAAGAGGCCTCATGGTGTACTCTGCAGACAAGTACGACTTAACGGGCAACCCCGAATGTGCTCCACAACTGGGAGTGGAGCTCGGAAGCCTAAACTCGCCAGCCACAACGCCCCAAAAACGCAAGGACCCTGGACGCCGAAATCCTCAAAAACCTAAAGTCCCAAAGGCCTTTCCTCGCACCCCTTATCCATGAACCCACCCACCGATGCGGCCCGTCCTCTAAGGCACGGTCGAAGAGAAACTCCAGGGTAGGTCGGGCCTCAGCTGCTTGGACTCGAAAAGCTGGACTGAAGCTGCGGTAGGGTAGCGGTGGGTACATATCATAAACTATACCATAACCTACTTTCTCGTGGGTTCTGTCTATAAACCTGAATAATACAATCTAGCTTTCAGGTATAGGGACCCTGCACAACAAATGGTAGATTTTAAAAATTTACTAGTGGCAGGCTTCTTTCGAAGCTCCGGTCTCTGTGAAGGGGGTCTCATCTCTTTTGAGCGACCTCGCTGTATTTTTTTCCCTCCCACTTAGCAAGGACGACCTCGCTGTATTTACGGTTTAGGGTTTAGGGAAGCATATTGGGGGTTTCCGACATCTGGATATTAGAAGCTTGCAAGAAGCCCTCGAAGCTAAGACCCGCAACAGCACACCTCGGTTGAAGGGTTCCTTTTTAGCGCGTAGATACAAGAGCTTGTAGAGGTCGAGGGCTCAGAAAGGCCCTAAACCCTAAACCCTAAACCCTAAATCCCTAAAACCCTAAAACCCTAAACCCTAAAAACCCTAAAACCCTAAACCCTAAACCACAAAGCAAGTTGCCTCTTCTGATTGCTCTTCCGGCGGCTTGCCTCTGCAGGCATTCGGGGGCTTCGAAGGGAATCGGGCGGTGCATTCCTTCAAACACGGGGGTCGACTTGCAGAGTAACTTCAATAGTCGGGCCCTAAAGGGTTTTTTTTGGGCTATCTCATACTAACAATAACGAACCTATAAGAAAGAATCTTGGCAGTATTCAGGCCCCTAGACTGAACCCTTCAACAAGCCCACTGTTAGAGAAAAAAGCGTGAAGCTCTCGCCGGTCGTCAGAGTGAGGGTCATGCACCCTAAACCCTAAACCCCTAAACCCTAAACCGTGGTGCAGGGTTTCGACTCTCACACTGGGCAGGCGGCTCCGCACAATTCCGTCACGCCAAGAACGTCCGAGTGATGTAGTCAGGATGGGTTTAGGGTTTATAGTGTTTCGGGATGGCCAAAATCTGGAAAAGCAGCGAAGATTTCAGGATGCATAGAGTTGCATGATGGGGAGAACGGAACTCTTCTATTCTGGGGTCCCGCGGACCCTTCAACTATCAGCTCTCCCAGGATGAAGGCCACCCGGTGCACCCTGAAACGCTCCACCCTCTTCGAGAGGCGAGCACGTTTGTTTTCAGAAGGGGGTCCTACAGAGTGTGTATATTGAGATGCATCCTCAAAGCAAATTTGGGGTGCCCGGCATCGCTATCTCGCTTTCAGAACACGTTTTCGGTCGAACTGGGGCACAGTTTTTCCCGAAACCCTACACCCTAAACCCTGTTGCAAGCCCGCAATGCATTTCGAAGACAAAACTCTGAAGCTCGGGGTTTCCTTGATCTGTGCACCCGGCCGCCCACAGGCCTCGGCTCTTGTTTGAGAGAAGCACTCCTAAGCCACACTCCCTGCACCTTTACCTCGAAACATGAGTCCCAAAACTCTGCTCCTGCCGACCCGTCCGTGAGCAGAAAAACTCGCCTGATGCCAGGACAGCGACGCCATATGTTACCTGTTGAAGCCTCGCCAGAGCGCTCAAGTTTTCGGTTTGGGCTTTACTGTATTTACATGGTCAGGGTGTCGAGAAAAGTTCCGACTGTTGATGGCAGTCTGAGTGATTTGCTGGCATCGAGACTTCAGCTGTGGCGACGCAGACACTCACGACTGTTATAAACCAAAGTAATGCACCGTAGCACTCCGTTGCAGCAACTATGCCAGTTATAGTATAACATAGTACAACTTCATAATACAATATCAATACGCTACAGTAAATACAGCTATCTCTGTATCATAGTACAGCTACCTGTAATATATTATTAGTACAATCTGCAGCCCAGGCACAGGAGCGCAGCGTCCACGACTTCTTCCACGGGGATCAGCTCGCCGCCTTGCGCCACTGCTCGGTCCGGGCATGGAGCTTCAAATAGGGTTTACATAGGGCTTGGGGTTATAGGGCCCATGGGTTGAGGGCTCAGAGCTTCACATGGCTTGGGGATTTGGATGGGTTAAGGTCTTCCGCTCTCAAAGCTTGCCGGACCGGTAACAGGATCGAGCGCTCAGTTTGAGGGTCTGTAAACCCTTTTGAACGAGGTTTCGCTGCGCGCCTCGGCTGTGGCTCGTGCATTACGAGGCACGAATTCCGCCAGACCATGTTACAGCCCAGCAAACCCGAGCAAGCGGCTATGCCAGGAGTCACGAAATACAGTGAAGGTCGCCGGTCGCCACTGCACCCCAATCTTCCCCAACACAGTGCCATGTCAGGGAGCTGTGGAAGCATAACAGCTGTCGCAACTGATCCATTAAGATATCGACATTGGAGCATTCCCTAATCATGAATAACCATAATGGCCGGGTGCTTCTTGATGGTCTAAGTCTTCCATCGCAAAAGCCAGAGAACTGTAACGAAGAACCAGATGTGGGCTAGCCAGCAGTGCTGGACAGCAATAGAAAGCCCTTCCCGAAGCTAGGGGACCCTGATTTCGGGGTCCGTTTATAAGCAGGATCCCACTTTCACTGTCTATAGAAACTCCCGCGAAAATCTGGTTGGCCCAGCAGAACCCAAAGCCCAGACCTTTCACTCCGACATGAACACCAGACTCCCTGTGAGGGCCTGTCTACATTGGTGTCCCCTTTCTGGGCGACCCTAAAAAGCTCGTCGTTCCGTTCATACGAATGCCCAACAGGTGGCCCCAGATTTTGCAAAGTGCCCATCGTATGACTGCCTCGATCCGGATCCCGCCACTCCTTAACACGCGGGTGGAGAAGAATGCTGGCAACAGTTGACATGCCTGACATGCCGGAGGGAAAATGACAAGGACGCATGAGAAACCACGCGCGAGCGGAGACCATGACCATGACCATGACCATGACAGTACCATCGCTGTCTCAATCATCAGAATCATTAGGACACAGTTTCGAGGTTCAGTATACTATACTTACAGCCGGGAGCCCTGAGGAATAGTGTGGCTAATTATTCAAGCTCCTATAGTAACAGCCCGTCGGCGGTACGTTTTGCGCTTCTTGGGCAATGCATCTGCAGCCGAGGCTCGGCGATTTCTGCAGATTCCCAGCCGCTGTACTGACCTAATTCCACTTGTCCCCGGAAGCTATGTCCCAAACAACTTTGTGGAATTCAACCTTTGTGGGATCTGGGCTTCCGAGGTTCAGTGGGGCTCACACAAATCGGATTACTATCTGGCGAAGCACTGTCTAGTAGCACTTACCGCAAACGCTGTGATGACTGTGGGACACAACTTAGGCTTTTCAGCAGCACTTACCGTAAACCCTGTGACCCTAAACCCTAAACCCCGAAGCCCCTAAACCCTAAACCCCTAACCCTAAACTTAGGCTTTTCAGTTCCTTACGTTCTCTCTCAAGTCTCGACTGACATCCTTCGGGTACCAGGCTCCCGGTAACCTGAGACCCAGCAGCCTGAACTACGGTAGACCCGAACAAACCGGCAGAAGCGCCGCAGCAAGGAGGGAATCTGTATTATATATATATATATAGAGAGAGAGAGAGAGAGATATAGATATATATAGAACACGTGTTAACTACATAACAGATGGCGCATAGTAAAAAAATGTTTGGGCTGTCAGTCTGAACTCCTACACCTGGGCCTAAGCCCTGACAGGGACATGAAGGCATCACAGGTGCTCTTGAATCCCTTTGACCCCTAAACCCTAAACCCCCAGCCAAAAACGTCAGCCCCAATCTTAACGACTAAACCCCCTAAACCCTAAACCTTAACCCCAA